GAGAGAGAGAGAGAGAGAGAGAGAGAGAGATTAATGGAGGTCATTGACATAGGAGGGGATTTCCTCCTATGGAGCTGATGTGGCCAGATCTCAGCCACAAATCTGATTTCAATGGGTATAAGCAATCAAAGGGAATTTTGCAAATAAGCCCATATCAGCGTAGACTAGCTGTTAAATGCCAAAAACAAGAGAGAGAGAGAGAGAGAGAGAGAGAGAGAGAGAGAGAGAGATTAATGGAGGTCATTGACATAGGAGGGGATTTCCTCCTATGGAGCTGATATGGCCAGATCTTAGCCACAAATCTGATTTCAATGGGTATCAATCAAAGGGAATTTTGCAAATAAGCCCATATTAGCGTAGACCAGCTGTCAAACGCCAAAAACCCTCCTACGTGATTTAATTCCAAATCTCCTCCTCCCATCGTGATTTAATTCCAAATCTCCTCCACGGTGATTAATTTCCGACGACCCCTCCTCCCATCGTGATTTATTTTCATCGCCGAACACCAACGCCGAACACTGACACGTCGAAGACCGACGCCGACGGCGTGATTTCTCCCGTCGACAGCCCCCTCCTCCTACCGCCTCCCGCTGTCGAGACTGACGCCGACGGTGTGATTCCCCTCCTCCCGCCTCCCACTGTCGAGACCGAGGCCGACGCCGTGATTTCTCCCGTCGACAGGCGACAGCCCCCTCCTTTAAGCCATTGATTGGCTATGTGAATACTTGGATACTGGATTAATCAGGCAAGTTAGTTGCCTAGCTCATTAGCATAGTCATTCAAAGGTAGAGAAGTCTACTGCTCATCATAATTTTGAAGGGGAAAATAGATAAATATGAAGGAGAAGTAGCTTTTAAATGTGTAATGATAATGGTCTCCTTTTGCATTAGTCCCTTCTAAATAGCTTTTAAATTTTAATTGGAATGAATCTTATTCCAAATTCTGTGCTCTTTGTCGTTATGCTTGAGATGATATTATAAAGTCATACATTCTGTTATCACTAAAATATTCTTTTTCCCTTGGAAATATCATATACAGATTGATTAAACAATAATAATTTCTCCTGACTTTCTTGACTTATCGGCTATTTCCTTGCGGATTCCAAAACCCATTTTGATATTTGATATTTCCAAAACCCATTCTTTATATGATATTTCCAAGGGAAAAAGAATATTTTAGTGCTAACAGAATGTATGACTTTATAATATCATCTCAAGCATACCGACAAAGAGCACAGAATTTGGAATAAGATTCATTCCAATTAAATTTAAAAGCTATTTAGAAGGGACTAATGCAAAAGGAGACCATTATCATTACACATTTAAAAGCTACTTCTCCTTCGTATTTATCTATTTTCCCCTTCAAAATTATGATGAGGAGTAGACTTCTCTACCTTTGAATGACTATGCTAATGAGCTAGGCAACTAATTACCTATCTGATTAATCCAGTATCGAAGTATTCACATAGCCAATCAATGGCTTAAAGGAGGGGGCTGTCGCCTGTCGACGGGAGAAATCATGGCGTCGGCCTCGGTCTCGACAGCGGGAGGCGGTAGGAGGAGGGGGCTGTCGACGGGAGGAAATCATGCCGTCGGCATCGGTCTTGACAGCGGGAGGCGGTAGGAGGAGGGGGCTGTCAACGAGAGAAATCATGCCGTCGGCGTCGGTCTTCGACGTGTCAGTGTTCGGCGACGAAAATAAATCACGATGGGAGGAGGGGTCGTCGGAAATTAAACACCGTGGAGGAGATTTGGAATTAAATCACGATGGGAGGAGGAGATTTGGAAATAAATCACGTAGGAGAGTTTTTGGCGTTTGACAGCTGGTCTACGCTAATATGGGCTTATATGCAAAATTCCCTTTGACTTATACCCATTGAAATCAGATTTGTGGCTAAGATCTGGCCATATCAGCTCCATAGGAGGAAATCCCCTCCTATGTCAATGACCTCCATTAATCTCTCTCTCTCTCTCTCTCTCTCTCTCTATATATATATATATATATATATATATATATATACACACACACACACCACCACCACCAACACACCACACACCACATATATATATTATATATATTATATACTAATTATATTATAATATATATAATATATGATATCTGACGTATAATCCTAAATATAGTTATATATATTATGAGTATAATAATACTATAATGGGTAATTTGGTACCAAAAACACAAATTTTGTGTTTCGGTAGTGATTGGCACAATCCCTCCACTCTCATTTCAAATAGGGACCGAATTCACATGGGTTGAGGAATGATGGATAGTCAATCATTGAATGAGTGGAGGGGATTATACCACCTCACTACCAGATAACTTTTAATGCTGTACCAAGCATACCCATTGTGTGTCTTCATATATTATATATATATAATATATATATATATATAATAATATATAAATATATATTATATATATAAGTATAGATATTATATATAATAATATGATAACTATATAAAGGTGAATATTATAAGTATCAGTCAGGTGGTCCAATTAGAACGCACGCCAGA